GCACGGCCAGCCCAAAGTACCCCAAACACGTTGTTGTTTCTGTCATTGGCCTCAATGAACACAGGAATATGTGCTATAGAGAGAGGCGAAGTAATGAACTAGCACAAACAGCATCCATCTAGGTAAGGATGACTGGTCTACAAGTGTGTGCCTTTGTGTGTGTGTGTGTGCGCGTGCGCGTGCGTGCGTGCGGTGTGCTTGACGCCAACTTGCTCGCAGCCACACAGTCATGCTTGAGCCAATCTCTGACCTTGTCGCGGCAGACTGAGCAAGGATGATGCGCCAGCCGCGGTCCCCCCACACACCCACTCAAGGCCGCAGTCCTCACGCGCGCTCGGCCCTGGCAGCCCTGGCACGGCCCCTTACAAGCCCACTGTGCAGGCCGCAGTCCCCACACCGCTCTGCAGCCGCGGTCCAGGCGCTCGGCCGTGGCACTGCTTGCCCCTGGCACGGCCTCCATGAGCGCTACGGCCCCGACTTGTGCAGGCTGCGGTCCCACTCGGCCCGCAGGGCCCCTGTCCCGCAGGTCCCTACTGCTCGGCCCCCTGTACCAGGCCGCGGCCCGCACGCCCCCTACAACGGCGCGCTCGGCCCCTACCCACACGGACTCGGCTCTGGCACGGCGCAGGCCGCCACGGCCCCTCTCTGTCTCTCTGTGTGTGTGTGTGTCGGTGTGTGTGTGTGTGTGTTTGTGTGTGTGTGTGTGGGTGTGTGTGTGTGTCGGTGTGTGTGAGTGTGGTGAGTGCGAATATGTGGGTGTGAGTATGTGGGTGTGAGTGTGAGTGTGGTGAGTGTGTGAGTGTCGGTGAGTGTGTGATGAGTGTGGTGAGTGATGAGTAATAATAAGTGTGGTGAGTGATGAGTAAGGAAGAGGAAGAGGAAGAGGAAGAGGAGGAGGACGAGGAGAAGGACGAGGAGGAGGAAGGAGGCGCGGACGCCAAGCAGTAAAAAGTAAGAACCCCACACAAAGATGTGGGGAACAACATGGCTATAACTATACTCCTGATACGCCTAGTCTCAGGGGCCTGCCCAGCCGGTGAAGTACATTCTGGACACGAGTGGCCCGGACGACATCGGGCCTCACGGGCTTCATTTTTGAGATGATGTCAGCAATTTCAGCTATCCACTTTGTCTCGGCCAGACCTTCCCCAGCTTCCTCGTCTGAGGAAGAGCTGGACTTTGTCTGGGCCAGACATTCCAAAGCTTCCTTGTCTGAGGAAGAGCTGGACCTTTCCGAAGGTACCGACGCATCGACGTCGAGGTCATGGTCGAGGATATCGGGATGTCCCAGTACGGTCACAGTCGGCGGCATGGAAAACCAGCTGCTGACGCATGTGCGAATCTGCTACAACACAACACTTCTCAGCCCCAAGATGACACATAATCTCTACGTCTCGCATCCCCATCAAAGGACACCCCGAACAGAAACTCGCCAAACTCTCGAATGGTGTCCTTGGCCCTTTCTCTCTGTCGCTATCTATCTATCTATCTATCTATCTATCTACATCTCTCTCTCTCTCTATATATATATATCATAAACTCACCTGCTCACGAAATATGAACACAACGTCATGTAACCCGACATGAGCCCCGACACCGTAAACCCTGAAGTCTAAACCGCAGCATGCTGAAAACCATGACATGAATCCTGAACTCACAGAAAACGGTCACAAACGAGTAAACTCATAGACAACAAAGAACTATAACACAAACCCCAAACTTGCTAAAACAGCAACCGTAACCTCCCGGGAAACCATAACATAGACCCTGGTAGACCCGAAACACAATAGCATAACAGAAAGCCTCTAAACTGGCAGAGAACTTTTACAAAACAACCCTAGAGACTCACGGCATACTGCAGCCTCAACACGAACTAAACTCACAGAAAAAACAGGATGATATCCTAAACTCGCATGGAAGGGCTTCCAACCCTGCCTCTTTGGAGCCTGGCAGGAAGGAAGCATTTTCGCAAAGGTTTCTATTCGGATGTAAAGGAGCCGGGGATGGGTTTCAACTGGCTTCTATATCAGGGTTTAGGGTTTAGGGTTTCAAAGGGCTGCTATATCATAGGGCACAGAGGGCTTGATGCGATGTGTGTGTAGGATGTTCTCTGTTCGTAAAGCTTAGTTTAGGGCCTACTTCTGGGTTCATGGGTACTTGCTGTTAGGAGGACTTTGCTTGGAATGACCAGTGCTTGGGGTTGCGGATGCCCGTAATGATGTCTCTAGTAACACGTAATCCACGAAATCATTCTTCAAGACTGCCCAAGTTAATACTGGCATTGCATCAATTAGCATGATTCACCTGGCTGTGTTTCCACACTGTCACAACTTGTGATGGTGACGACAGCATTGATGATGGGTTTCGGGGTTTAGGGTTTAGAGGTTTAGGTGTTGGGTAGAATCGTTCCGATGTGCAGCAACTACCTCACTACGAACCCTAAACCCTAAACCGTATGGTTGCTGGTCCGACTCATACTCTTCGTGCTTGTACGAACGCTGCAGCTGCAATTACAACAGTGGCCTTGATAATTAGAGTAGGATCTTGGCGTATTGTAGTACATGTACAACAAGGAAACCTAAGAACGGTATGGGTAGTGAAGGGCCATGATTTCGGAAACTTGCTGTACCTTATCCCAAAGCCGCAAAGCTGGCAAGTCTGAGCCCATCGTTTTCAAGCTTCTCCACTTCAAGACCATTACTACTACTACTACTACTACTACTCCTCCTCCATAAGTTCCCTCGGCCTTGTTTCTCCTCCTTGGCTTTCACCTCGGGCCTGGCAGCTCAAACCGGCTTCCCTTGCTCCGGTTGCTTTAGGCTTTAGGCTTTAGGCTTTAGGGTTTTGGTTTAGGGTTTAGGGTTTAGGGTTTAGGCTTTAGGGTCTAGGTCAAGAAAAGTTGGTAGGCCCCGATTCTTACCATAAAGGTGTTCCTTACTCTCGAATCACTGCTTCCTCAGTCAAGCTTCCAAACCACAAGACCCACAACCCCACACACACACCCACACACACACACGCACACTCTCACACACATTCAAAAGAGACTCTGAACTGCAAACTCTACACCCTGCAGGAAGCTTGGCTCAAGCACTTCGTGACAGCCGCTTCTTCCTGCCCGTAGCTTTGGAACCTCGACAGCTTGAGTTGCAGGCTTGCGCCGATGACTCTTGATTATGCACTTGCGGGAGCAGGGGTCTTAGTGGTCTACGGTCGTGCCTGTGGCGCCGTAGCTGCCATCAGAGTAAGAAGAACAGCCAGCGAACTATCACCATCATGTTCTCATCTGCAGCTTGTCCATAATCATCGTCAACAGCATCGCCTCCAGTATACTACAATGAGGAACAACAGCATTCGTTGAAGAAGGAGTCTCGTCGTTGATATGCTTGGCACTGCTGTCGCCGTAGCTGCAGCAGCCATGGCAGGAGGATTGCCGGTTGCAGCCAATCTTAATCGTAGATTTTAGCCCTCAATTTGCGTTCTCAGGGTCCCACATAAAAAAAAAACAGCAAGAACGCTTGCACTCTGCAACGAAGGAGACCAGATTCAGATACAAACACAACTGAACAAAGCATGGCACATCAGATCTCGGGAACCTAAAACCTTCAGATGCAAGCCTTACCTATAGTCTGCATTGCAGTTCCTTTTTGGGGTTACCTTTCAGGATCCTTAGTATAGAATTGGTTAAACCAAAAAAGGAACTAGAATGGAGACTCGAGGTATGATAAGCCCCTATGAATCAAGCGCCTTCGGTACCTGTAGACGGGACGCTTCTCCTCCTGAGGAGGTCACCAATCTGACGACTGCCGGTGATTCAGCAGCGCAGACAAGAGCCGAGTACTCGTCGCGAGCATGGCCTCGCAAGGGGGAGAGGGTTGAGGGTTTAGGGGTTAGGGGTTTAGGGTTTAGGGGTTTAGGGTTTAGGGGTTTAGGGCTTAGGGTTTATAGGGGTTGGGGTATGTTGTCTTGAGGGCCCTTTTGCGTTGCAGCTCTACTCCTTTGAAGGTTTAGGGCTTTAGGGCAGTTTGAGATTGGGGTGTAGATAGGGCCGAGGGATAACTAAGGGTTCTATAAGGGCTTTGTAAACGACCTAGAAACGTTCTATACAACTTTTTACAAGGAATGTGAGGGTGTAGGCTTTTTGGGTCAGCGTTCCATCTAGGATTCAGGACTTTAGGGTTTTGTTTCAAGAACTCTCGGATTGCTAGCTAACATGTCACTTCAAAGACGATCACAGCAGGCTCCCCTGTGCAACAATCTTTTCGGATAAATGATTTGAGAACCAGGCATTCCCTAGAGCAAACCTTCCACCTGGTGCAAGCAAGCCACACACCTGTCTCAGCTACATGTGTGCATGTGTGTGTGTGTATCTGGGCGGCTAGGTGTTAGGGTTTTGAGACTAAGGCATTCGGGCGTTTAGGTGGCAGGGTCAGATATTAAGGCGAAGCCTGCGAGTTCAACCCTG